TATATATCTGTCCATCTATTTATCTATCTATCTATCTTTCTCTGAAAATTATTTTCTGCGCCTGCGCGAAGGTGCAGTCTCAGGGCCTGAAGTGTACACTAGAAATGACGTCAAATAGAGATACAGACATCCTTCCTACAAGATGGAGAATATAGGTCCAACTAAAATCTGTTTATTCAGAATATATATCTAGACTAAAAAGTTGTAAATTTAGTAAGATCGAAAGATTGTATTTAGTGAACAGTGATATCGATACGCGTAATTGCTAATGTATTCTTCAAGTGCAGCCATTTTATAATCATAATTTTCTTTTCAGATTTTGTTTAGTTTTTGTTTTCTTGAGTTTCTCCATTTTTGTGGTATGAGTTGATTTTGTATAAATGTTGCTATGATACTAAATTACAAGAGTGGAATATGTCTGCAGCAGAACCAACCAGCCAGAAGAAACGTACTTTAATCGTTCACAAGGAAAATATTTCGTAAATTATTTTCATTTTTTATTTTGTAATCTTTTGAGTCTAAAACATATGACTGGGATATCGGGACTCTCGGGACACGTAAGGGTAATTTCCTANGAAACTCCTTCTATCTTATATAATAAAACAAGACATTTGTATATATATATATGCATGCCTATAGACTACTGGACCTATTGGGATGAAATTTTTTGTGGACACTCATTGTTTGCCAGGGGGTGTTACAGGCTAAAAAATCGTAATTTTTTTCTTTTTTTTAAATGTTCTCTTTTTTCCACGGGCAACGCCGGGCCTCTCAGCTTATAGTTAATAATAAATAAAATATATCCCCCTGCACCCTTTACTTTTACCTTTTTAACTTCTGAACAAATGGTATCGTTGAAAAGCAATAATGCTCTGCACATATGTTTAATATCAATTTATATTTTTTATGTTTACTCATTTTACCTTTGACAGAAATTTTGAGTAATTTCATTAATTGATTAATTTTATAGATCAGTTATGATAATTTCTTTGATTTAACGAATCTGTCTTAGAGAACGTTTTTTGGACACTGTACATAATATACATGACTTCGAATTCGTGTATGTTCAAAATAAAATTAGATATCAATAATTTTATTAAACTTTAGGGGTTGGATTAAACAAGATTTTGTTTTGGCCAAGCGCTGCCTTAGGACA